AGCTGTTCTTCAGAGATTTTGGACGAGAATCCAATAGTTTAGGTCCTTCGCAAATATGCCCTTAGTCAGCAGCTGAATTGTGACTCAGGCCCCACCTCGATGAACCACAAGCATGATTCTTGAAGTAGGCTCAGCAGAGATTGCACTCCATACACTTGTGCTGTATAAAGATAAAAATCTGGCCTATGCCTATGGACTTTATTTGAGAGATCTTGAATGTCATTGATCCAGAGCACCTCGAGGAATTGGAAGTGAACACTGAGTGGAATGTGTTCAAGCTGGCTCATTTTGCTCCCTGCTTTGGGCAGATGAGCAATCTTCACAAACTCCTCCTGACATCCCTCTATAAGAATGTCTTCAAGATTGCCAATAGTATAGAAGACAGAGAAGAGAAATGTGTCAAGGGGTTCAGTTCTCTCATTTCCAAATTCAAGTGTCTTGAGCATCTCTCCATGAGTAGCATCCACTTTGTCACAGACCACATGAATTAGGTCTTCAGGTAAGCAAGGATGGAGGGCTGGGTCACCTATCAAAAGAAATTTTCCTCTTAGCTTCTAAGGATTTGTGGTGCAGGTTGCCTGCCAGTCAATTACTTGGAATAAACACTCGAGGATTTTTTAGAATATGGAATTTGTGATTCAAAGTCTCAAATGAGCACTCCTGAAGCAGAGGAATAAAGGGAGGTAAGGGTATGTCAAATTGTGTAAGCAGTTGCAATTCTTGGAATCATGTCCAACCAATTGATCAGAAAAGGAGCAGGAAGGTGAGCATGTAGTTAGGAGTGGCAGGACTCACCAGAAAATTGTGGAAGTGAGCTCTGTGTTCAGATCTGTGGGAACAGCCTTCTATCTTCTCCTACTTTACCATGAAGGAAGGATTTTGATCCCCAGTAGGGCTGAGTTCATGGGACTCGGGGAAGTGTGTGAACTTGTGAAAAATAGCAAGAGTGATAGTGCAGAGGCTAGCAGGGAATGCAGTGTTAAGTCAGACCACAAGGTAATGTCCCTAGATCCTGTCAGGTCTCTCTTACCATGGAAAGACTTCTGTGTGTCTCCTGGTCTTATGGGCTAAACTGCTTTTCTGACTAAGACTGAGATCACCAGATTAGCTGTTGGTTTGACTTGAAAGCTGATTCCAAAAGGAAGCCTCTTAGAAAATATCTTTGATTATTTGGTCACACAGAGCTTGGGGCACCTTGTTCCTTCTATGACACTGAAAACCTCACCACACCCTCTCCATCATCATTTGGTAGAAGTAATCCTTTGGTCTCTTCTATCTTTAGGTGTCTGATGAAGGCCTTAGAGACCTTCTCCATCACCCACTTCAAAGTTTCACAGTCAGACTTTGATCCTTTCTCCTGCTGTCAGAGCCTCTTTCTGCTCAAATGTCTGGAGATGAGAGGTGTGGTCTTACTGGATTTGGATCTTATGCCTCTGAGAGGTCCTCCTGAGAGAGCTGCAGACAAACTTGAGACTCTGGATTTCAGGGGTATAGGATCAATGACTACAAGATCAATGCTCTCCTACTTGCCCTCAGACAGTGCTCTCAGCTCACCAAGGTCAACTTTTACAACAATGACTTCTCCATGCTCATCCTAAAGGACCTTTGCAGCACACA